GATTTAAGCATGGAACTATAGACCAAGTGGACACAGACTGTATAATAAAATACATCAATCATTTAAAAATAAGTTTGTTCTGCAGCCTTCTTGGACATTTCTCAGGCTTTTGATAAAGTCTGACACGAGGAACTATTATATAAAGTTAAAATGAACCTTCCATCTTGCTTCTTTAACATCTTAAAATCTCCGTGTCTAGATCCATTCTTGGAATGCCAACATTTTGTAAGCCTGGCAGTCACTTCATCAAGGCGAGGAGCAGCCTGATACTGAGCTGTTCCTCCAGGCCCTTCCTTTTTATATTACGCTGTTTGTTGGAGTAGGGGTAAATGGGAAAAGGGAGGTGGGGTGAGAGAAGAAGTGGAATTTGGTCTTCAATAATACAAAAAATTACATAAAAACGGACACGATAAAAAAGATATAACCAAGATAATCAATAAACATACAATCAACGATCTCTAACACACAATCAGATGATAGAATCCTATCTATTCTTCCATATATCAAAGGAACAACAGATCGGATTGGCAGGATATTAAACAAACATAATATCCCAACTATCTTCAAACCACCCAAAAAGATAGGACAAATCTTAAGAAATTCTAAAGACTCAGCTCCGCAGGAGTATACAAAATACCTTGTTCCTGCAGACAAGTATACATTGGAGAAACTGGGGAAATAGTCAACCTACGGATAAAAGAACACCAACGTGATGTCAGGCTAAAACACGCCACGCAGTTGGCATTATCAGAACACAACATCGAAACAGGACATCAAATATTGTTTGACAAAGCGACCACGATAACCAACGTTACATCATACTTTCCAAGAAAGTATAAAGAAGCTATAGAGATACAAAAACACCCTAATAATCTAAATAGAGATAATGGAACTACAACATAAATAAAATATGGAAAACGATTTTCCCGATTATTGAAAAGCAACCAAATTCCATCACCTCTTCTCCCACCCCACCCCCCTCTTCCCACCTACCCCCACTCCAACAAGCAGCGTAATATAAAAAGAAAGGCCCGGAGGAACAGTTCAGTATCAAACTGCTCCTCGCCCTGATGAAGTGGACTGCAAGGCTCACGAAACATTGGCATTCCAAGAATGGATCTAGACATGGAGAAAACCCGCGAAACACACAACAGTTATATAGAAAGCATCCATGGAAGTCTCAAGAATATTATCTTAAAATCTTATCTTGAAGACCGACATTTCCAATCACAGAGAAGCTTCAACTGGAATCTATCCGATATGTGCGGGAGTGCTCCAAGGTAGCGTCCTGAAACCTCTCTTATCTATTGTATACCTATGACCTACCTACTGATCAGGCTGTCATTACTGGAACTTTTGCTAATGATACAGCAGTTTTAGCATCACATTCAGACTCCAAAATGGTCTCTATAGATATTGCAAAATAGTTTTTAAAAAGTAATCTCATGGATGACTGAAGAATTAAAGCTAATAAAGTCAAATCTACATGTCATCTTTTCAACAAGATACGAAACTTATCCACTCATCAAACTAAATAACAAAATGCCTCAATCAGACCATGTTAGATATCTTGATTTATACTCGGACAGACGATTGGGCTAGAAGAAACATATTTTTACTAAAAAAAAGCAACTCGATATCAAACTGCAAAAAAATGTATTGGATGTTAAACTACAACTCTAAGTTAAGTCTTGATTATAAGCTTTTGCTGTATAAAGCTATCCTAAAACCTATCTGAACATGCGGTATATAGCTTTGGGATCAACTTCTAATATCCAAATCATACAGAGATTTCAATCAAAAATACTATTACGTATTATAACTGATGTCCCATAAGTCATCTCCAACGAAACAATATAGGATTTAAATATACTCTTCGTTAAAGAAGAAAAATATCCTTAAATATATTAAAGCTTAAAGAAATAAGTTGAGTAATCATCCTAATGTATGGATAAATCGTCTTATGGCTAAAGGACATCCAAACCGAAGACTCAAAAGAAAAATCTCTAATGACTTTATAACTCATAACTAATACTATTGAATAATAATTAATTGGAAGTATGTCATTGGATGCATTTTACTCAGATTTTATATAACTGTTTAACGTATTTGTTCCGGAATCATCGTTATTTCAAAAATGTCTTTTTGGGGATGGTATATAAACAGCTCAGAGACACTGAGCCGTCCCCATTTAATCACGTCTGCGGCGTGACATTTCGTTCAAAACATGAGTATATTTCGCTCATGTTCCATCTACGTCAGATGGCACGCAACCATCCTTGCGCGGCATTCGAAAAGTTGACTATCGCGCATACGTTCTGCGTGCGAAAATTCAGTTCGCTTCCCGATCTCGATCAATACGGATCATTGAGTGAGATTCGTGCTTAACGAATCTTATCCTAAATATTGAGTGCGAACTACACCAAAGTGTTATCGCATATCAACACTGTATTTTGTCACGTAATGTTACTGATATATGCGTAGTGCGAGAGCATTCAGTGTGCAAGAATTACCTGAGTTTCCGGCGAGATTTGCCGGTCTCGTTGCTGCTACGTATTCTTTAATGGCTGCGAGAAATTATTCAACGTCGTACCAAGTTACCTATGCACGCATCTAACCGAATGCATCAATTATTGATTATGAGTACCGTCTATCGCTCGCTTCGAACAAATCTTAATTCGACTCAACAATAAAGTTTAAATTATTACAACAAAGAGAGTTGTCATTATTACACCCCGCCTTGGCGAGCTTCCATACAACGTGATACCAACGTCACAAACACACAAACAATATTACTGAATGTCGCGAGCGCGCGCGCGCGCGCGCGCGCGTGTGTGTGTGTGTGTGTGTATAACAAGACAGATTGTAATAATAATAGAATTAAAAAAAATGGTAAGTATATAAATATATATATTTACAATTCAACATTATATTATGTACAATAAAAAATTATTATTTACAATAAATATAATTATAAAATATTTATTTTCTCATTTTTATTTCTTAAAAAATATTTTATTTATATCTCAAATTGCAGATTCTGATAGTTATTAGAGAAGGAGAAGTAGTGTCGAAAATCTGTAATTTATATTACATGTATACTACGAATTTTCATTGGAAATAAATCTTCAAATACATTCTTAATAATGACATTAAAATTTAAAAATAATATTTAATTTAAGTTCGGTAATTATTGAGTTTAGCTTCTGATGTCGACGATTGTTTCTGCCATATCAGTCGTTTTTTGTGCAAAAATGCGTCAAATGAGCTTAATTTTTATCAACATCGTATGTGAGGGAACTAACTCAACAACTCAATTTCCCGAAAAATAACGAAAAGATAACAATTCATTACTTTTACAAGTAATGGTAATGGTAACGCGTTACTTTTTAAAATAAGTAACTAATAATAGTAAAGTTATTTTTAACAAAAACTAACTGTAACTGTAACGCGTTATTTTTTTAAGGTAATGTTCCCAACTCTGCGTGTGAGTATGTGAAACATATTTTATACGTCAAGAAATAGTTGATGAAACACACGAAGATGTAGAATTTCATGTACGTATATAATAAGTGAATAAAAAGATAATATAATGTTCTACTTAAATAAATGTTTTTTTAATGCGTTTATAATTTTCGAAAAGTATTCCTTTAAATAACGTATTAAAAGTAGGTTTTAATAACCAGATATGTTACATTTTTTAAATATGTTAATAAAAGATTGAGCATATATTAGATTTATACATATTTTCATCACGATGTTTGACTGAATAGTAAACATATTTTCTATCTGACACATCGGCGCAATTAATTTAAGATTTGCTGAAAATTTTATTTATAAAATCAAAAACATTTAAAAAAACATTTGCGAAATATAATTAAAATCCAGATGATAATTTAATTTGATCATATCTGGATTCCAATCTATTATATTCTCTAAACGTTTTTTAAATGTTTTTCATTCCATAAACAAAATATATTTTCAACAATCTTAATTGCGCCCAATGTGTCAGTAGAAAATATGTTTACTATTCAGTCAAACATCACGATGAAAACATATATATCAAATATATGCTCAATCTTTTATTAACATATTTAAATGTAACATACCTAGTTATTAAAACTTACTCTTAATACGTTATTTAAAGGAATACTTTTCACAAATTATAAATATATTAAAAAAATTTATTTAAGTAGAACATTATACTATCTTTATTCACATTATATACATGCATGAAATTCTACATCTTCATACGTTTCAACTATTTATTGACATATAAAATATATTTTACATTGCTCACATAGTAAAAACAATTATTATACACGTATATTACATTATCGTATAAGAACAGTTTAGTTTATGTAGGATGAGAGTTGAATTAGCTTTTTGACCCTATGAAAAAATAATTGACTGCATACATTATAATTCAATTAGGCATGAAGTCAACAATTTGCTCAAAGGATAAAAAATTGGTTCAACATTTTGATTCATCCTGTATACGTGTATGCCATATTCCTATACTAGTTTTATACTGTACTTACGTTTTAAAGCATGTATACTACAATCTTGCTCTAATTGGATAGTTCTCCCAGTAGTAGAAAACGCTATTAAGCTCTAGACATAATACGAGGGAATAACAATAGAATTTACACAATTAGAAATTACAATTTCAATCTATCAGGAGTTATGTATTCCGGGTTCTGATAGGTTGAAATCGTGTTATTTCTATCGCTATTGCTATTTCCCTTGCATCGTGTCTGGACTTTACTTTTTAATATCGAAAACATCTTTAATTTCATAATTTATTTTTGCAATTGAAAAATAATCATATTGGGTGTCAATTTGAACTTTAAATTTTTTATATCAAATTTAAATTTAATGCAAACCCAAAAACCTCTTATGATAAATCAAGTATAAACTTGAAAATTTCAAATATATAAAAGATTCTCCAACAATCTATTCTATTAAAATTGATTTTCTTCGAAAAAATGTATACTTACCTTCGTTGAATTCAAAATCATTGAGGACTTTGTCTAAGTCGATCATAAATTTCTCCATGATACAATGTATTTCCAATCGTGTTTTCACTAAATAAATTTATCAACACTAGCCAACTTTTATTAATTGTATATATAATTCTATTAACATTAATTGATATCAATAACCTCCATGATCGAAATATGATTCTTGATATATAACCAGTAATGTAATTGGTATGATTCACGCTTCAACAATTAACGCATGTTCTTGGAATCTGTTTTAACTTGCTTCTTAAATAAGAGGAACAGATTACACTAATATTCTGCATCAGATGTAATATACGCGTGATTCAGATTCGTTCCATTCAACAATCGTCGAATTCGATTCTTGAGACATGACACTTATATCTTGAAAAAAATTAAGCACATTGCGATGAAATTAATCGGAATCACTTTGACTTCGTTTTTAAAATGACTTACAAAACGATATAACAATTGTATCAGATCTCATATATACGCAGCCATGTACTACAATATATATCTTCTATCATATGACAAAACTAGGGTTTAGGGCTGCGACCTGCGTTGGCTGTATTCAGATAGAGTACCTATAATAAGAATACGGCCAACAAGGTAATGATCGATGATTGGCTCGACATATTAAGGCAAAAGCAGAAGTTGCGTGCCCGTGTGTACTATCAGTGTGCATACAATGTATGTACATATGCTCTAGACTGCGTTCAGAAATATTAATCGAGTTCCGCATATTTTATCCTTATTGTTCACCCAATATTAAATAAGGATAAGACGATACACGGAGCACCAGAGGCCCTATTCGTGGGCTACGTTCCAAACTTTCTCTCTGAGGAAAATTTTACTCGAAATATATAGTACACGTGACGTATATTATAGCATATAAAGTAAAATCTTCCTCGGAGAGTAATACTCGTATTCATAGTCAGACCTTATATTTAAGACTTGGCTGCTGAGTATCTAAAGATAAATTTAAGGAAGCCTTACAAGATCTGACTGTAAATACAGGTATAAGTTTTGGAACGTAGCCTTGAAAAAGTAACGCATACGAAAAACTAGAGAAATGCTATAGTATATGACGCATACTATAGTATTTCTCTAGTTTTTCATATGCGATACTTTTCAAGAATAGGGCCCTTGAATAATATTTCCAAACGTAATCCTATCGAGTATGAAATGCTCGGTGTAAGAGTTGCCGCACACAAAAAAAGTCTGTAACAGTAATGGCTCCCGCATATAGAACGCGACAACGCTTGCCGTGCGACGGAAGTTATCGCACTAATAATTCTATGTTTTTAAATCGGCCACACCAACATTTCTAGAAATGATGTAATATTACTTTCGCCGCATGGCAAAAGTTAGATTCAGAGTTCAAACTTTCATCAGAGTTTTCAACTTTTATCACGCGGCGGAAATTATATATCTACACTTTCGAGCTAACGAGACATTGATTGGCTATCGCGTAACTTTCGTCGCGCGGCAAGCGTTGCCGCGTTGTGTACGGCAACCATAATCTTAAAACGTGAACTTAAGCCGATAAACCAATCAAGATGGATAAGTTTACTGTTATTTTCATTTCCGTTAAATTACGTAGACTTAAAGCAATATCTTGATTGGCTCATCAGTTTAAGTTCACGTCTTAAGGTTACTATTACAGAAATTTTGTGTGCGGCAGCCCTAAGTTCATAGCACACAAAAAACTTAAGGCAGTAAAACGTAAGCAGTAAGAGAATCAGTCAATCAGAATCAAGAACGTAAGGCAATAACACAAGCAGTAGCAAATCCACAACGTTGATTTTCTTACTGCTTATGTCTTACTACCTTAAATTTTTTGTGTGCCATGGCCTTTAGATCTACGGAAATAAAAATAGCAGTAAACTTAAGCGCGGAGCACAGACTCTTGTATAATGCATAACAAGTAATGCATAAGAAATTTAACCAATCTGAGTTCTTTATTTCATGGAAAGGAAAGAAACAAAGGATGTTGATTGGTACATTTTCTTATGTATTACGTATGTATTATGCAAGAGTTTGTGCTCCCTGCTTTATCCATAAAGCGAGTTTTAACCGGTTGAAATTTACCTTATTGCGAGGATATGGATAACTATTATTTTTATTCTGACATTTCATTGCGCGACACGCAATCAATACAATGAATGTTCAGTCAATGTTCTCATTCTAAAGGTATATTGTCATTGGATATCGCGCGTTGCGCGCAACTAACATCGCGCTGGTATGCCGAAGCCATAAAGGCTGCCGCAGACAAAATTTCTGTAAGTAACCTTAAGACGTGAACTTAAGCTAATGAGCCAATCAGGATATTGCTTTAGATCTACGTACTCTAACGGAAATAGAAATAGCATTAAACTTATCCATAAGACAATTTTACCGGTTGAAATTCACCTTATTGCGAGGTTATGAATTAGTTTATTGTTATTTCCATTTCCGTTAGATTATGTAATCTAAAACATCTTGATTGGCTTTTCAGTTTAAGTTTACACCTTACGCATACTGTTACAGAATTTTGTGTGAGACAGTCTTAAAGTTCACGATACTAGAAATCGGTCCGAAACATAGAAATCTCGGACATAGAAAAAATTAACAAATCACATTTGAACAATTTGTCACATGACCATCACAATTGGTCAATTCTTTCTTCATCCGAGATCTCGGACCGATTTCTAGTATTGTGGACACAAGGCTTAAAAAAAAGGAGTCAATAACAGATTTTTTTAATCTGGATGGTCGTTTACTTTAATGAATAATGGCCTTTAATGAATAATAGTTTCCACCGAGTCAATCAACTACAGTCGAATATTCCCCTATTATAGTCAAACGACAGATGAATGCGCGACTGTAGTTGATTGGTTCTTACTGTAGTTGATTGATTCTGATCCGGATTAAACCCTCGGTGGAAACTAAGCCAATATTTCGGTTTGTGGGGCAAAGCGACGCTTTATCTGCTAGTTTCGTTTCATGCAGAAACGCGTCGAATAATCTCAATTTTATTGTTTTTTAGGCTGCGAAAGCTAAACTATACAATTATCTTTTATTTATTTTTACGCTAAAACGCATCGAATGAATGTATTTTTATCAAAATTCGAAGAAGGTAGATTTGAAGAAGGTATTCTTAATGTGTACCCGCGTATCAAATGTAAACTTGCTAGACTAGTAGCAAACTTCTACAATTAATATCTTGCTTTACAGGGCAGACCGCCGCATTTTTCTACCAGATTCTATTGTTTCGAATGAAAACGCGTCGAATAAGTATATTTTTATCAAGTTTTGCAATTCAAATTATTACCAAATATAGTTGTAGCGTGTTAAAAATATTCAGCTGTGTACATGGATGCATTACAATTAAGAAATGTGCGTATCTTTAATATTACACTTATGTTTATTAAGATTTGATTGTTCGTCCACACTTAACCAATAATTTTATGTTGTGTCTATACAATTTTTTGTTGTAAATGATATATTAATCATGTTAAATAGTATGTTAACGAGAAATTTGTTTTCAGTAGTTTAAAGACTTTCTTTTGTTGTACAATCAAATATCTGAAACGTGTTTCAAAAAATGTGCAAATACTTTTCTGTCTCGTGAAATTACTTCTGATGAAGTGAGTATTTTTATGAAAGTATATTGAATTGTATAATTGTATTGAACATGAAATTCAATTAATTGAAATTTGTAGGAGCTCTGCATAAATAATTGTGTACAGAAATACATCTACACTAATCATAAGATAATGGAAATATTCATGGAAGTACAACCTAGAATGGTGCACAAAAGAATAGAGGAGATAAACATGGCTCAAACAGCAGCGTTAGAAGCACAAGATCAGCAAGTCAAAATGGAACAGAGTCTACAATAATACATCTTTATCAATTGTATGCAATATATTTTTTAATTTGTCAAATACTTTTAATTTATTTTGCATCATAAATTATGGAGATCTGTTGAAATATATATAAAGTAATAATTTAAAAAGTGAAACATTTCACAAAAGTTGCGAAATACATCAACATTTCTGAAACAGTTTTGGAATAGTAAAATGTCCATGATTCTTGCATATGAAACATTGTTGAAAGGTTGCTAAAAAGTTACAGATAGAATCTAAGATTCTTTTTGAAATATTATTAAAAATGTACTTTGATTGAGAGGATTACGGTCAATACTTCAAAAAGATTTTAGCTATTTCTACAAAAATAATTTTAGTATTAACAGAGTCCAATTTTAGAGAATTTTATTTTTTGTATAAAGCCTCAAGAGGAATTCTCTTAAATTAAGAGGAAAATATTTTAAATATAATATTTTTACAGTTGAATAATTTTATCTCTCGCATCTGTAATACAAATTTTGCTGTTTTTTTATATTAATTTTCTCTTGCATACATAATATGTATATAATATTGTTTTAAGAGATATTTATATAAACGATAAATCTTCAGTTGTAATGGTGTTATTATTAAAATAAGATTAACTTAGCAATTAATCTCACATTTAATGAGTTTTCTTAAAGTTCTCAAAATGGTATTTAAATTTATTATTAGGTGTTGGAATTAATTCGTAGCGTTTTACAAGTGATGGGAAGTACTTTCATTAATGTATTTTTTAATGCTCATGTGAAATAAATAACATTCTTTCATTAAAAACGCTACGAATTAATTCCAACACCTAATATATTCAGAGAATTGCAAATAATTAAAACGTTACAATAAATATTATATATAAAATAGTTTTTTCATTGCAAAATTGTATTATTTAGTATTTGGATCTCATTAATATATAAATAAGATTTTTTAAATATGCTTAATAAAAATAATTAGGTAGGACAATAACATTTTATTTGCATAACATTATATACTATTTTTTAATACATAATTGGATAATATCAATTTTCCATTTATGTTTAAAGGAATCCTACTCATACACTGAAAATTTTCAGAAATAATTTAGAAATATTTCAATTGAAAAGTGAAACATTTCAGAAAAATTGCGAAATACATCTGCAACATTTCTAAGACAGCTCTGGTATAACAAAATATTCGCGATTCTTGCATATGAAATCTTATTGAAAGGTTGCTAAAATATTACAGAAACAATTTACAATCTTAAAATATTACCAAAAATTTACAGAAATAAATCTTTTCGAAATATTGCTGACCGTAATCCTTTCAATCTGAAGTTAAATAAATTTATTAAGAGTCTTGTAATTTATTTATAGATTACAAAACTTATATTGGAATAAACTTCAAATATTTCTCAAAAATGATATTTAAATTTATTATATTTAAAGGATTGCAAGTAACTAAAACATTATAATAAATATTATATATAAAATAGTATTTTCATGACATGATTTTATTTAGTGTTTGCAATCTCATTAATATAATATAATAAATGTAAATATATTTTCTGAAATATATTTAATAAAAATAATACATAATATTATATATAAGACATCTTATTTGCATAATACAATTTTTATTGATATTGTATAACATTACTTTCTACATTATATAACATTACCTTCTACATTGCATAACTACATATTACATTATATTACCTACATATTATATTCGTTACCTAATTACAAAAAATAAATTTTTAAATCCGTGTTTGAATAATAAGTTTCCTTTTAAAGTTTTGTATTTTTTTTTGTATTCTATAATATTAACAAAGCTCTTAAAAATATTAATTTAATAATTATAGTAATCAGGCTATTCGAGCCGCGCTGGATGTTATTTGCGAAACTTTTATCAAATATAACAATAATTTATTAATATTAATACGTTTCGACCTTTTTAACTTGGTCATCTTCAGTGATCTTATTCTAATTCATTCTATTAATATAATTTACATAGTATCATTATTGAGAGCACACCACAAGTTTCAAGTCACATAAAAAATACCAATTGATAGAAAAGTAAAAGATATAAAGATACATAATAACTACAACTTAACATCCTTGGATATGATTGCTTTATTCACAAATGTATCTATTGTGTCAGCGATAAATAATGTCATGAAAAGAAAAATGGCAATTTGTAGAAAAAATATCACTTCCTAAGAAGGAATTTGAATTAGTAATTAGAATGGTTATAACAATCAATGTTTTTTACGTTTAATAAACATTTATAAACAAATTTTTGTGATGTACCCATGGCTCTCCACTATCACCTATAGTAGTGGATTTGGTCATGCAAGATTTGGAAGAGATAGCATTAGAACGATTATCATTCGGAATACCATTCTATTTCAGGTATACGACATATTATTGGCTGCTCCTTCCGACAAGATAAATCACATATTGGAACTTCAACTCCTTAGATGAACATCTAAAGTTTAAAATAAAATAAAAAATAATAATTAATTAAACTCTTTGAATATAAAATTAATCAGAGAAGAATATTCAATTAAATTTGATCTATTCCATAAAGTCACATTCTCAGGCAGATATCTTAATTACAATTGTAACTCGTCAAGGACAAATCGTTTAACCAACATTGATTATGTTTGACTTACTGATGATGACTCCAAAGAGAGTGAAAATGTTTAAGATTTCGGAATAAAGTTGCACATCATTTATCAATTGGAAGTATTTTACATGAATTAATACTTATGCGCACCTTTTCCCGCGCTGACTCTCATTAGCCTTAATTTTATTGTTATGTATTATTGTAAAGTTTGAGAGTCTGATTTAAATTATATTTTGTTAATTTACAATTCACATCATCTGATTGAGCATAAAAAAGAAATAATTTATAGAATGGTACACAAAATTATTTTACTTACACATCCGGATTATTACGAAAAAAACTTGAAAAATAATATTAACATTTTATTAAATAATAACTAGATTTCATATTCAACATGATTAATAAAAGAAAATATCATATATATGAAGATAATAATAAAAATGATAAATTCAATAACTGTAATAGAATTCCTCAAAGAAAAAAGTTTTTTATAATACCATTTGTAAAAGCTTTTTCTAGACAATTTTCAACAATATCCAAAAATGTTTAATTTACAACCAGCTTAAAAAAAACCAGCTTACCTGAAAAAAACTAAGCGCTTACATCACAACTGCAAAAGATAAATTAGCTAATATGTCAAAATGTGATGTAGTCTACAAGATCTTTTTCCTGTTTTGGTTGAACCTGTTTTGATTTCCTGTTTAGGTTGAACCTAAACGCTGACGCCCTATCTAGAAATCCTGCAATAACTTCCTCAACGAAATCACAGAAAAAATAGACCGTAAAAAAAAACACTGTTTTCTCTAACTCAGAATCAAAACATGAGCTCAGCAAACACGCCTGCACTATCTACAGGTTCTCTACAAGATAGCCGTAGCGGCCTAGAAGCCATTTACTTTCCCATGTACGATGAAAATTCTGACGAAAATAGTACGGATGCCGATGGAAGCAGACGATAGCGACCTTGCCCCGATACTTTAGACGCTCCCAATCAACGCTTTAACATACGAGAACTGCCCGATAATTTTCTTACAAGGAAAGACAATTTAATAATTTTCGCCACGAGGCGAATCCTGCAATCAAGGAGCAAATATGCTCGCAGAACAAGACCAATTACCGCAAATTGAAAACACCGTCCTTGGGCGCGCAAAAATAATTAGCGACAGGAATCGGTACATTATCGCGCTAATAGTTGACGAACGCGCATCGGAGGTGACGGGAAGGCAACTGATAGTGGAGGCGATTTCGTCACTGCTAAATATAATTAGCGAGCTCGCCTTACCATTGGTTTCTACCTGCAAAAGCGATATTAACGGGGTGCAGTGGCATAAAATTAGAGACATTTTGGACGACACATTCTGTGATCGTGACGTAAAATTCTCAATCTGCACCAATAAAATTATGACACCTCTGGTCGACGATCGCCCATCCTGTATCCTTAACGAAACGGACGGACATAAAGGCACACGATACCCCCACTATTTTTCCACTGAAGTCACCGAAACACACCAACGAGTGATGTTTCCGAACGCAGTCTTAATTGTATTGTTAGCAATATAGTAGTATTATATATATATATATGATGTGCCCCAATGTTCAGTGATACAAACGGATTTAGAACAAGCATGTCACCTAACCTAATCCGTGAGACCACTCGTGCGGGTCGGATGTGTACCTCGTTTCGGGTGTTGTGTTACCTCGATTATTTGAAAAGCATAACCGGTTTCGACTGTGCATTTGTATTACCCAATAAAACGAGAAAAAGAATTGTCATCTTATGTATAGGAGCCATTATCCCTTTGTTCCAATTAGAAGATGGATTTTCTTGCCGGGTTTCGCTTTAGAATCAATAAGTTCGGATTTACAATAGTGTTTTAAGCCTTAAACTGTAAGAAATTGACAAATTACAGTCTAATGCAAGGAGAATACTCGATTACAATTCGTTATTCCATTTCTTATGACTTAAGGCTTAAAAATCTATAGTAGATCCAGGCTAATGAAATTAATAATTCTAAATTAAACCTTATGACTTTATATAAACGCAACCAATATTTATAGTCTCATAATTCATTTGATAATTCTTTTTGCGTCAAATAAACATTTCAAAATCAATATTATGACTTTATATAAACGCAATCAATATTTCAGTCTTATAATTCATCTGATAATTCTGAGAATTATTTATTATTTATTATTATTTATTATTTATTATTATTCTTCATCTGAGAATTCTGTCTTCCTCATCGATTTTAATAAAATTAGACTGCGTTTTTATACAAAATAAATAAATAAAAATAATCCGTTAAAGGGCACAGAGCATAAGCAAAGTCGCTATTGTTATAAATAACAAAACATTATATTTAATAAATTATAATACAAACGTTTCGACCTTCTTTTAGGTCGATGTTTTTCAATGTTAAAACTAACATTGAAACTCTACCTTATAACAATGACATACTAAAAATTCTAGGAAATTCTAATACATACAATATAAAAATCTTATTATTTTAGCAACGTGTACAATCCGATAATTTTGATATGACTGCACGAAGTTATAGAATCTTCTTTTATACCTGTTCATGTTATCAGTTCAGGAGTGAATCTCATCTAATTTGTCACTATCAATTCGCCATAATAATTTGTCATGATATATGATTATTGGATATATGATTTCTTATTAAACGCATAAGGATACACTTTGTCCATAAAATCTTAATGATGTATTACTATGTAAAAAAATAATTCAAACTATTGAGAATTTCTGCAAATTAAAATATCGTCATATATCATGGCAAATTTATATTATTATAATATCTATATTAATGCCAACAAAGATGATACGATTCACAGCGCATAATAGTATGTAAAAAACAAGCAGTGTTAAGACCAGAACTCCACAGGTAAAAAATGTGTCATGTTCTTCTTCTCTTGACGACTTATTTTAAACTAATCCACAAGTAACGAAAAATCGTCAATTGTGAGTGGTAAGAAATATAGAAGGAAAGGGAAAAGATGACGGGAAATATTCAGGAAGGGGAAAGTGCTTGTATAATGGGAGAGTATATTTCTGGTAAGGATTCTGTGTCACTTTGTAAATTAAGTCCATTCTTTTGTCTCTTTATAAAAATCATCTCGGAAATCAATATTTTATTATACGATGGTTCCTTATCTAAAATTCTAACTTTGTTCCAATCAAAGTTATGATCAAGTGAAATACGGTGATTAGATATGACATTTGGAGCCTGATTTTTTATTGATATCCGACGAATGGTTCGCGATTCTTGTTTTTAACTTTTTGTCTGGTCAATGCATGATGCATCAAATCATTGCATGAGATCCTATAGACTACATCATGAGATGCTTTTGTCTCAAGAATATCCTTTCCAGTTGTATTCAATGTATTTTTTCAAAGTATTCGGAATCATAAAAGCTGGCTTTAAATTGACACTTCTGGCTAAAGAAGTTGGAAAAAGATTCCGAGATGGTTCTTATGAAAGGTTAAGTACTTATTAAGATCTTTAGTTTGAATTCTGGTGGACTTTCTATTATAAAAATGGAACTTAATTCTCATCTGAATTGAGGAGAATATAAAAGGAAGAGGATATCCATTTTTTATTATGTATCATATAAATAATATTCTTACAATGGAATTTTGAGTGGGATAAAAGGAAAATTTTGTCAAATAAACTAAAAATTACGCCTCTTTTATGACAGATGGGATGTTGCGAGTGAAAATTAAGATATCTTTCAGAAAATATAGGTTTTTTTATAGGTGTCAAAAATAATTCTGTGCTCGTCAATAATAAGATTCACATCCAAAAAATTCAAACTATTATCCTTGCTCACCTCAAACGTGAAGGCGTTCATGGAACGAATTAAAAACTTCCAGTATTTAAATTGTCTGACGGAGCAGCAAGTAATATATCGTCTACATATCTAAAGTAAAAGAGTAAACGATATGATAATAATTGGAATGCTTTTTCTTCTAAATCTTCCACAACTACGTTAGCTATGATCGGTGACAAAGGAGAGCCCATAGGAGAATCAAAAACTTGTCTATTTCTTATTAAAAAATAAGTGGATTCTAATATTAGTTTAATAGCTATCAAAAATTTTTTTTTAGGAATTTTAATATTCTTCGATATATTCTCCCATCTTCTTTCTATACTTTCAGTTATCAATTCTGCTGATACGTTGGTAAAAAACAACACAACATCTAAAGAAGCCAATTGATAGTCAGCTTAAAAATAAGTCCCATTTAGTTTGTCAACTAATTGGAAGCTATTTTCCACTTGGTTGCGTGCTTCATTGCTGTTTTTAATAATAAAATGTAAGAAAAAAGATAGTGAATATAGAGGGCTGTTAATCGAAGAGACAATGATTTTAAGTAAAATAAATCTGAAACACTTTTTTCGACAGTACGTTTTTAATTATTATGCATGCGTGACCTAACCGCACTACTGTAAACAATTATGACAACAGAGAAAAATATCAGGGCGCTCCTTGAGTTCGATTCTGTATTTTGAAACAAGGTAAAAATGACAAAAGTGAGCGAATTTACTAGAATACTGATAATTTCATTGGTCAACGTCTAATAAATTTGCTCACTTTTGTAATTTTCATCTTGTTTGGAGATACAAAATCGATCCTCTAGTCTCGAATCCAGGTCTGAAGGTCAATTCTGTATCTTCAAACAAAGTAAAAATTTACAAAAGTGAGCAAATTTACTGTTGAGCAATGAAATTATTAGTATTCTAGTAAATTCGCTCACTTTTGTAATTTTCATCTCATTTCAAAATATAGAATCGATCCCCTGGTCTCTCCTTCCAGGTAAACTTTCGTCCTGCTACTGAGTCACATAGCCCTGACGCTGATGGTTTCTTTGTTGTCTCTATTTCTGACAGTAAATTTCTTACAGCTCGGCCAGCCTGATATTACATTCGTCCTCGAATGCTTAAGTATAGGGAATCGAGTTTGTATCTTGTGTTACGTTTTGACGACTCCACGATTCTTTTCTTTCGAGAAGATCCGTTTCTCTCAAATGTGAATAATGGGATCAGAATAGCATGGCGGATCGAATATTAATTGGAAAATGATTATTAGTGTTCGATTGAAAGCA